TAGACGCCAACTGCCACTATAACGCTAAAAGGCCTAGGGGTTCTGGGGGGTTTAAGAAGCAGCCATAGGACCTCTCTGTTATCTTCTTCTAAATTTTTTAGACATGTAGTTGGTATACAAGCGTTCACATATGCTAATACACCCCCTCCTGGTGTAATTCGGTCCCGCCGATAGGTATTGAACATTCTTCCAATGTTTATAGCAGAGTCGGGTATATTTGTATTCAGCCAGGACTCTGTAATCATAATCAAGGAGGGACTGTTCATTTCAACAATAACGTGTAGATCGTCAACTTTGTTCGAAATGTGACATATGTTCGTTAGGAGGATAGTTGGCATGTTAGATATAGTTTTATTAGCGGTTTGATTAGTCGGTCTAGCATTCCGTTTTGAAATGTTTAAAGTAATTAGGTTGGTAAGGTTGCGCCTATTTCGTTTATATCTATAATTACGTGATGAGATTATAACTGGAATATGAGCCATTATACGTAGGTTGAATATGAACTGGAATATGAGCCATTATAATATAACTGGAATATGAGCCATTATACGTAGGTCCTCTGGTGCCAGACAACTTTACTCAAGGGCAGAATGTACACTTGCCACAAGTCGACCTCGAACGAAACGTCGGCTCACACTCGCTGCTTGCGTTTCGTTCGAGGTCGACTTGTGGCAAGTCTAGGCAGAATGCTGCCACTCAATGAGTTAATATATTTTCAGAACAGTTACCATCAAATGAAATCTATTTTGCTGGCAAAATTGCCTTGGAGGGGGGTCCTTGATTTGTTGAGTCTTTTTTTTTTGGGGGGGGGTGTGAGTGTTGTAAAAAACAGAATAGCAACTGGTTTCAGAATAGGAAGAATTGTTGTAATATAGGTAATATAATTCTAAGACAAATCATCCAAAGGACGCAATCATTCTAGCTCTTATAGTGTATGTTGCAACAGGAATGGATTTACTGGGGGTGTGCACCCCCCACCCCCCCCTAGCCCTGGCCAGAGGGGGTGCAGGGGGGGTGCTATTTTTCATGATAAAGCAAAAAATTATTTCAGGCAAAATGAGATACAGTAATTTGAGTAATAACATGATAAGCGAGCTGTGAACAACAATTCAAATACAGTAGTAAAGCAAGACTTTGCAGTAGTGAAGCAAGTTGATGGGCGGGCGGCACACATGACCAACACAACTCGGCACCAGAGCTGGCAGAGCACCCCCCCCTACCAGATCATGCTGGATCCATCCCTGTGTTGCAAAATGTATTTTCTTCATAGTCAGGCATTCACATGAATGAAGATTAGAATTGCATCATGTTATATAGTCTTGAATATTTAGGAGGGGTCTCCATTATTAAATTAAGAGATTAAAAAGGGGTCCCATGACATTTTGACATAAGAATCTCCCACCCCACCCTAGGGTATAATGAATGGTCACTTAAAGTACATGCCATCTTCTAACTGGTTGGGCACCTTACCCCTTTTGTTATGGAAAATCTATTCCCTACCTTTATCCCCTGGGACAAAAAATTCAAATCAATTCTTCACCCTGATAATGTGCAGATGGTAACAGCAAGATTTGAAGCAAGCAAGCTTTACTGGAGTACATATTATTTATAATATTAGGAAACATCAATCCGCACATGCTAATTTGCCAGTGATGATTTTAAACGTAATATTTCTTATCTCATATAGAATTCTTAAGGTCTTGTTTACATTTTACTGGAAGCAAACTAAGATGCATATCCAATATTTGAGTCATATCACTCATATCATGTCAGTTTTGCAGCTTGCCAGCTTCAACAACATTTGGCTGCAAGAAAAACGTAAACAAGGAAAGAGCATATAACACTTCATCTGTGTTTAAAATATCAATGAATAAATATTCCAACCATTGGCACTTTATAATATAAGTGACATTCAACAATAGATCAATAACATATACAGTATATATGCAAAAACATTTCTTTGAATAACTGTATAAAATATTCCTCATAATTCATAAACTCGCTCCAATCGTCGCACAGCAGAGTCTTTGGAAGGGTAAAACCAAGTTTAACATCCCAGTTCAAAACACTTTCCGTGTCCTCTTAGGCAAGCCTGTCCAGCTGGAGAACATCCGTCGACTGTCGTAATGCTATATTTTTGCTCAATTGGCTGTTAATTTTGTTTAGCGAACGAACGATATTTACCAAACCCAGTTGGAAGAACAGCAACTACATAGTTCCCATGTAATAAAGGCTGAAGAATTTGATTTCGAGTACGTCGGTAGCAAAAGGAAGGAAAAATTTCCAAGACTAAACGCATTTTTAAGCCGCTCTAAGCACTTAAATTTTGTGGACACTCTTAGGTTGGCGGCCATCTTGGATTTTCTAATTCATTATTATTATAATTTATTACACCCACTATATCTGGGTGTTGAAAGTCATGTGACCGGCCGGTGCCAGGGCCTTTTCCCGCCTTCCCAGTGACAAAAAGGGAAAAGCCCTGGGAACGAGGTTGCAGAAAGTGAAATCCGAGTAAGTATGATTGAACGATTTGCATAATTAGAGGATGCGAGGTACCCACGATTTTAACGTCCTTATCCGAGAAGCAGGGCCGCCGAGAGGGGGGGTCAAATTACCCCGGGCCCCCCACCATAATATAGCACCAAATTGGGAGCGAAAAATTGCTGCAACTTGCAACAAATTCTGATTTCATCGCATGTTAAGTAAAAATGTCGACACATGTTGCCAGTGATTTGTAATTTATGTGTAAACATTTTCAATTAACATGCGTTGAAATCAGATTTTGTTGCAAGTTGCAACAATTTTGTTGCTTGTGTAACTCCACCTTTAAATTGGTCAGAGCATTTTTGAAATTGAGGGCCCCTTACAGTACCTCCACATGCAGTCTAGCTAAGGTCTAGTTGGGTCCAGCTTAAAAATAGTGATGTCATGGGGCTCCCAGGAAAGATTTGCCCCGGGCCCCGCAAATTCTCTCAGCGGCCCTGCCGAGAAGACGCGAAAGTCTTAACCATTTACGGATGTTAGCGCGAAGGTAGCTTTGTCTCTTCAATTGCTGCAAGTGTTACGCGTTTGTGTTTTATAAAAGAAAAAACGATCAATTTTTACTTAATAAAAAATAAAAAATAATCCAAAAAGAAAGCGAAAAGTACTGAAATGCATTAAACTGATTATTGGAATACTAACTGGACAAAAGTACGTTTAAGTGTAAAGGACAAAATAGACAACAAAACAAGGGCTGGAATATGCTTTGAAACCTGTTGCATGTCAGTATCTTGAAATCATTTCAAACATTTTGAAAATGTTCATATCGGGTAGATATAAATTAAGAAGTAATAACAACAAGAAGGGCTTTCCGAGGAAGGCCTTGATTAATTAGGGCATGAACCACTGGAAATATTTTATTCACATGCCTATGATACACGATTTCATGCATTTTAAGCATGCATTTTTAGGCGACAGTTCCTCTATCGCTACTGTAAACTTATCGTGTGTGCGCGTAAATACAGTCTTCTCAATCCAACGACGTCGAAGTTTTGCAAGAGACTCTTGTAATGGAACCATGTCTTTGGGTTCCTTGTCATCTTTAGTTTAGTGAATCTATGTTATAAAACATAATGTAAAAACCCATCAAAAACTGCAGAACAGAAAAAACTGATTGGTTTTTTATCAGTAATAACTTATAACTGTCATCGCAGTTGACACTCATTTGTACTTGTTGTATAGCATATATACTGTAGACCATATATAATTATATTTTAACCTGACGGTTCGTGCAAGAGTTTTTTTCATTGCCGTCGCCCAAACAGATTTCAGGACAAACGCCACATATACCACAGACCACGTCGTCGAGATTTCTTTCTGTACTCATTTCAAAACTGTAGTATCCATTATAGAGCAAATCTTCGATGTACATCATCTCGCCGTCTGATGGTACTGAACTCTACAATAGATATACAATATATACGACTAAATACACTGATGAGATTGGAAGAATTCGACTAACTCGTTGCTATACACCCTATACTGTATATACATAAACAGCTGCAAATATTTACATTCATATTTTTATTATAACCTCTTTGCACTTGGCCTTCGGAGTTAGAAGCTTTGCACGAATAACATTTCCTATAGGATGCCCCTTCTTAAAAAACACCCTAAATTCTAACAGGATATCCAACGAAACCAATACTTTGTCAGAGATGTTGAACAAACCTATATATAAAAAACACATTAAATTAATATTTGTACGATCTACAGACATATACATGATGCATGTTTCGCCAAAGTGCAAGTTTGTACGTTCAAATTGGTACGTTACGTTCATTAATTGGTACGTTCAATGCAAATTGCATGGTATGTCGATGTTCTATATATATATATATATATATATATATATATATATATATATATATATATATATATATATATATATATATATATATATATATATATATATATATATATATATATACAGCTAATTCATTAAGGTTGCGAGGTTCAGATTTGACTTCCACTACCGCTACCAGTAAGGAAACATGAACCAATCACAAGCGCAGTAGGTCAGCGAAAGGTTGCGGTAGTGGACTAGTCAAATCTGAGCCTCGCTATAATATATAGGTGAAATGTACCATATGAGCTCTGAAATAGGTTTAACACATCAGAAGCCTTGTGGGAATATATAAATATTTATCCCGTACCTAGTTTTTCCGCCGACGCTTGATGCATAGCAGAACACGCACGAGATGAACATATTTTCACCATTATATCCACTTCTTTGAACGGATTAAGTTCTGTAAGGAGATAACAGGTGTTGGCTCGTGATTGTCCTGGGTGAATGCGTGAATCACCTAACTTGGACCCACATTGCTGACAGTTTTCCAAATCGGATTCGAAATTAGTAGGCCAACCATTAGCAGCGCCAAGGAATGTTAAAGCGTCTCTCTTTGCTATTGCCTGCAATAGCTCATATGGCAAAACATATGGAAGTACTTTAACCATTTCAGCCAAATTCAATGTCGAACTTCGTTTGGTGATTTCTTCAGATAAATCATCCGTAGATCCTACCGGCATAGGTCCTGCTGATGATTCGCCTTCAGAAGTCAGAGACATGACCTCGTTGTCAACCGTGGCTCCAGCCATAGGCCTACTCTGGGACCTTAACTCGCCCTAACTCGCCTTATCTCGCAATAGAAATTGATCGAATTTTGCTTAACTCGCCCAATCTCGCCTTATCTCGCCTTATCTCGCCTTATCTCGCAATGAGAAGTGGACAGAATTTTGCTTAACTCGCCTAAACTCGCTCTATTTTGCAATAAAAGCCGGCACAGTTTCACATCAGTAAAACACAAATACTGTCAATCAAAATTCTTTAGACTCACAATACTCACTTATATATTCTATGAGTTTGGCATTGCAACTGACATCAACATACAAGTATGTAAGCCTGATTATCTGAAATGTTATCATATTTTTAATTTACTACATTCTCTGTAATGCCATAAAGCTGTATTGATCAAATAATTCCACCAACTACTCTACTTTAATACAGTAAGCAGGCCTTAGCAGGCATACTATATACAGTAATACCCAGTATTTAATAAATCACAGTGAAAATAATTGAACATAATAACAGAACCCAAACTGCCAAGTATGGTTGAAAATTAATATTCCCATATATACTAATATACAGATCACTTATCTATTCTATTTCAACTATACAATGATATCAAAACATCAAAAGTACTTGCTTAGCTTTTATGCAGCTATCACATGACTATCAAATTTTACTAAAATACTGTTATACTTATAGTATAAAGGTCTCTGTGATATCAACAGCTCAAACTGCAAAGTTATTCGTTGAACTGTTTTTATATACAACCGGCAACAGAGCTACTGAACCAACGATACGCGCAGAATTTTAGGAGAAATATTTTAATACACAATCACATTCACAAAATTCGTGAAAATATAGATTTACAGTAAAAGCAAAGTTAAAGGTGAATATTGTAGTAAGCATACCGTGCTTGCCTGTCTGTGACCAACATTAAATTTAGTAGAAACAATCTGTAGTGACAAGGCTTTTTGAATCTCATTTTAATATCACAATAGTAATACATGAATAACATGATAAAAAACTTTAAAATGTCGATGTATATCCCGCCATATTGCGTTTGCGGAATCGAATAATTCTGACTTATAGACAGCGTAGACTCCCCCGACCACAGAGGAAATACCGCGATGATGGGAAGGAAGATTCCGTTTACCAGGGGGGCGGGATGCTGTCTGGGAACAGATATTGAAAATATTGCTCCCTTCAGCGGAAAAATTACAATCTGCTTGCAATACTTAGTGTTAGTGTTAATGAGAGGCAGTGAATTCTGAATATAAAAGCTTGATAGGAAATAGGAATATATATTATTAAACAATAATACAGTTTTATACAGAGGAATCATTGTCATTTACATTCATTTACGTTTCCAAAGCAAGTAAGTTGGGCATTAATTTTAGTATTATGACCGTTGGTTATCATTTAATATATCATTGTGGTTCGAAATTTCGTTAATTAAAATAGTTATTAAAGTGCTAAATTTAATAGTAAATAATCTATAATTTCCTAGCAAGCTTTTTAGTTTCTCTTTGTTTCATATCAATGTTTATATTAAATTAAATTAAAAATTGAATACAAGGACTGCTGCTTGCAAACAAATTCGAACCTAATTGATAATGTCATGATTCATGAAAACAGCTAAAAATTACAAAATATGTGGTGAAGCTAGTCATAGCAAGTTAGCAACTGATACTGTGAAGATTTAGGAAACAATGCAGTTCTATACACACTATGCATAATGCCTCAAATTATACAATTTGGCATCTGGCTACCAGCCTCGTTTTGATGCAACTTGTTTCCAGGTCCCGAGTTATTGTGCATATCATGTATGTATTGTAGAATATAGAATAAAACACTTTTCTAGGCCTGCTACTTCAAGTACTGCATACTTGCTTTGCATAATGCACAAACAAAGCAAAATACATAGTGTGTATACAATATCCAGATTTTTCCTTAACTCGCCTTATCTCGCCTTAACTCGCAAGGGTCAGTAGCCAGATTTTTCCTTAACTCGCCCTATCTCGCCTTAACTCGCATAGGCTCGCCTTATCTCGCGGCGAGTTAAGGTCCCAGA